CTCTTTTGTCACACAACACCCCTGACACTTTTCTCCACCCACTCCAACCTGCCTGCACTCGTCTCTTCACCTCTTTTCCACACTCCCGTCGCACTGAACCGCCTCTGTGTATGTTCACCAGAACTGTTTTCGAAGGATGACATCTGCAGACAATGAACACAGCACGAGGTACATGACCTTCTGCTGTCTCTGAATGCTATAAATGGGCTTTCAGAGTAACAGTATTTCCAGACTCTAATACAAAAGTCTACAAACCGGAACTCAGCGAGCGATTTTACTTCGAGGCAGAATTCCAATGTTCTTTTGATAAACGATACTGTTGTTGTTTGTGAGGAATGTGCTGATAATCAGTAATCTATGTCCCCCTCAAAGCCTCAACACACCTATCCGAGTTTTCTATCTGATGTATTGATCGAAAACCATGGGCGCCAACGGGAGCTCACTCATCTGACTGAATGAGTAAGGCCAATAAAACAAAAAAAAAAGACTTTGGCTCTGCCATACCAGATTGGTTTAAAGAAAAAAAGAGAATGACCAATGAAAGTTGGCTCTTCTAAGTACGTAAAAGGTGGCACTCATCCCACATTGTCTTAGCGACAGGAAAGAAGAAGAATATGATGATGGTAAAAAAAAATCAAAGAACAAAATCCTGGGTGTTGAGAGGTTTATTCTGTTGGTGGCTGATCACAGGGAATATTTGTGGTGCTATTGCCTCAAATGCCATCTTCAGGCAGGGAGCATCATTGCATTAATATTTCCTTAACTTTTCAGAAGATTTGTGCAAATCTCAGTTCGGATCGGTGTGTAGAGGCCTTTACTCTGACGAGTTTGGAATCTTGTAAAAGAGGAAACCAACAAAAGTATCAATGCAAGAATGCACAAAATGCAGCAGAACACCAGTCGCTGCAGAAACGCCTCGGTTACAACGAGGGGATAGCCCTCACACACAGGGGCAAAGTCTGAGCCTCTGACTGAAGACTTCACTCAGACTGAGATCCATTTTAAATAATGGATCAAATATTTACGAATCTTTTGAAGATCTATTTCACTCTATTGATTTCTTTTTACAGTACACAATTTCTCCGTTTTAAAAAGCTGTGAACTCCCAGCGGTTTCATTAAACACGATCTAAATGCTAAACTCTCTGTGTTCGAGAAGAATGACTCCCAAGTTTCACAAAGCACAAGCATGAATGTGAATGAAGCTGGATCAGGATGGCTCCCTGCGTCTCGTGTCTGTGTGCGGGGGTCACTCGCAGACCCCGGGAGGGAATATGCGCCGATGCAAACACACACACCACACACTCTCTCACTCAACTGCTAAATGCAGTACAGGAGACTTGTGAAAGCTCGCTGCTATTACCATCTCAATGACATTGGCTTTGAGAAATCAGGCAATTTTACAATTGAGAGCACGGCTCCGGTGGAGGCAGAGAGATGCGTCAAGCCTGCACCTGTTTGAATTCCAGATACGGATGAAAATTTGTGTGCCCCGACCCTCTTTCTTGAAATCTTTCCAGTTCAATGAAAATTTGTGTGCCCCGACCCTCTTTCTTGAAATCTTTCCAGTTCAATGGCCCAATACATACATGGCTGCTGTGGTTTCTTCCTTTTATACCAACCAGGTTTTTTTATTAGGAGCTGAATTGTTATTGACCTGGCATCGTCATGTAGGTTTAAATTTATGGCACAAACAAAAGAATTTCTCGATTTTTTTTGGTAAGCGAGGGATTTTTTTTCTTCAACCTATTACTGCAACATTTCTTGATCCAAGATCCGTTCCAATTTTTTGATCAGAAACTGAGCTAAAGTTCTAAAATATAGTTCTCATAAATTCATCAAAAGCAGGGTTCTCGAGGAACTTCAGGTTAAATGACTAGAGTCACCATTTAGAACCCAGAGATTCTCTATGCAGCTTTGCCATTTGTCCTGACGTAAACACAGCACTGGTTCGAAACCAGATTGCTTAACATCACTTCATGGAGCATTTTCCATTCCCCTGCATTTTTCTTTTTCAAAATCACGCTTATAATATTTTCAAAAAAATGAACAGGTGGAATTCCGGAGATTTCACACCTCTGTTTCATTTCATTTGGTCCAGACCAAGAAGAACAGCTGATGGATAGTTACAATCGTCTGCAGATTTAGTTCAACCACAACACACCAATCGTTCTGGTCCACACCCATAAGAAACACAGCCATATGACATCATGGACTCATTGGTCACATACGTCAACATAAGCGTTTCCTTAACCATTTTCCTGTATGATTTTGACCCTTGTGTTTAATTTCTTCTGATGCACTCTGCAAACAATTGATTACGAACTACTCCAAATTTGACCACGAGCTGCCATGACCAATGCTGGAACACACACGCAAACCCATAATGCCCTTAAGTACAGTGGCTGGATTCAGTTCGGATTACAATCCAATCTTAACAATGTTCTCACCGCTCTAGAGTTTATACCGAGTCCGAGGTATGAACTCTAGCGTGGTTCATTTGGAAAAACAAACTCTAATTCGAATGAATCCAACTAAACAAGTGAGGTGTGAAAGCACCCTCGGAAGAGAGAGCCCGAGACAGCGGAACACAATGCTTTGCAACAAACAAAGTTCAAAGAACAGAAAAGGTAAAAAAAAACAAATAACCCAAAAACCGTCCCTGTGTAGAACATCTCCATGAGATCAGACAGTTCTCTTACTCCTCGGGTCTTGAAAGAAACGTAGGACTAGAGGAAGGGCTAAAAAGATGAAGCGCGTTCATTCTGAAAGATCCCGATGCATTACTTCATGGAAAAGGAGGAGTCGAGCTTTAAGGTCGAAACTCCTAAAGTTCAGCTTTACTATCAATACGTTTGCCCTGGTGTTTGCCCTCTGCCAAGTCAAAGCTACTGCTAGCAAACACATCCATTGTAGCTAAATAAAGATTCACCCTTTTTTATTATTATTAATGTAAACTAAACATCCATGCATTTCAGATGACCAGTGTGGGTTCTTCTGTAAATTTAAATCTGTGAAATGAAACAAATATTATAAACCATAGAATATTTATAGATGCAAAATGACAGATTTAATTTCTGAATCAATGTAATTGTCACCACCTGCTCCTTATTTCCTTCATCTGCTCCTTATTTATCTCTTTACTTGGTTATCCTTAGTTCGTGCAAGTTTATTCTACTAAAAGCTGTACGCAGCCGGAAAACAGTGCTAGTTTGCTCAGCAGAAAATAACGTTATGTCTTACCACAGCACTCAGGTCTTAACAATAATAGTTGCTTTTTTAAAATCCATACACTTCTGAACGATAATAAATATCTGTCGTGAAAATAAAAAACCTAGTTCTATCCCCGGAGAGAACCAAAGCTCTTTTCTGAGCACAACTGCTTTCCAAATGGGATTGATTTTTGTGAGGCGGCATTAGAGTCAATTGGCACTTAGCCGCATGCCGCACGTACTGTAACCCTAACTCCACTCTCCTCCAAACCATTTGCCAGAATGTCGAGCAGATGTGATCGTGTAATGCAGGATGCATTGGATACCATAAATTATTGACCAGAGCATGTGAAATGAAAGACTTCCTTTAATGAGAAAACATCAGCTTCCTTTAATCACACCCCGGCCGGGTCTGATTGGGTACATTTGACGCCGTCTCTTTCAAGTGCATGGCCAGCCCATAAAGAGCAGCTTTCTCACACGTTCACACACACACTTGATCCCGCAGAGACACTTCACACTCCAGCAGTAGTGATAAAACAACATCAGCTTGAGCCGCTGAGAACACATCCAGAGCACGACCAAATCCAGTAGAAATCATCCCACGGGAAGTGAAATCCTAAACATCAGCAATGCAATATTCAAAAGTTCATCCCTTTTTAATATTCATGTATGCATTTCATGAATGCCACTTGTGTCATTACACACAAAACAGATGATGTCGTTCAAAACAACTCTGTTCAAATAAACCTGGGGTTTTTTTTGTACTTTATTTTTTGAAATTAAAGAGCAGTACATTTCACAGGTCAGTAGTATATGAACCTGCGTCCATTATATCTGCAGATTTTGAGATCTTTTACTCTACAATGTAAATATTTCTTCAAATGATTTCCATGTATTTGTTTTAAATTGGATCTAAATTGGATTATTCAAATGTAAGTGGCTTTGGACAAAAGCGTCTCCCAAATAAATAAATGTAAATGTAGACTGATTGCTTTAGACTGGAAACATGGTTGTGTTCGAGGCTCTTGCTGTAAAAACCCCTATAAAATACAGTAAGGCGTCACTTTTTGACCTCATACGTTTGGCTTCAACAAGAAGCTCAGCTTTCCAATTTGGTTTGTTTGCTGGAACAGTTGGGGTGGAGATCACAGAGGACCCCAGAAAGATACCAGAACCAATGTGTTTGTGAGTGGAGGATGGGAGGAGAGGTCAGAACAAATGATTGTGAGAGCGGAGGATGGGATGGATGGAGAGAAACGTGGTTTCACCACCACTACGGCCTGGTCTTGTTTTAGTCATCAGTCTCTCTCTCCTGCTTCCATTTCAGCTGGAAGAGGCATCGGGGGAGGTTTCTCTACGTACTCAGCCTTGAATAAAGAGATCATGAATCTCTTGATAGCAACGTCCATCAAACTTATATATCTCTTATTATTATAGGCCTTATTTGAAATCAACCATGACCTTTTTACACAACTTTCTGTGTTATTTCACATTTTAATTACCAAAGTAGAAGTGTTCATTAGGTGAATTTGTTTGTTAGAGAGGGCAAGCACAAATCAATACCCACTAACATTAAATTTTGACATTCTGCTCAATAAAAAAACTGGAGTGCTGTATCTGTGCCCGCAGCAGTTCTGCTCCTTGAAAAAAATGTGAATAAGTCGAAAACAATGAAAAAAGGTTTAGAGAAAGTAAAGCTTTTATATTTGTTCGTATTGAACAGTGTCTGATGGGCGCCGCTGAATGAGCTCATAGACCGCCGTTCTATCGGATTTTTGTCAGTTCTTGCTTTCCCTGGGATTTGAACCCACGACCTTTGCGTTGTTGGAGCAATGAATGCTCTACCAACTGAGCCACAGGAAAGCTAGCAGCGTTTCAATACAAGACATGGAGCACAGACTGTAACGTAGGCATTTTTAAGAACATACCAATAAATAGACGGAGTCGATTTTTCATCAAATTCTGAGACTTTAAGTACGCAGTATGGTTCATCGGGAGCACCTTGATTTAAAGGAGCTTGGACTGGAAAACCACAGATATGCCTATAACTCAGCATGGAAAAGAAAATGCTCTTGGTATGTAAAGAAGACTTGGATGGACCAAAGATAGTGTTTGCTTCCCTTGTCTCATTTGAAAACCAGGGTGAGTCCCAGGATGGACTCAGAAAGGTATGGTGGATTTTAAAGAGGTTTTTAGAAAATAAAAAAAAAAACGTCCTCTCAAGAACAAAGAGGGCACAATGTATACATATATAAAAAAACAATCTATGTGTGTTTTTAAATCTGTACATATGATGTAATAGCATTGGAAAAATAGAAGACTTTTCTAAATCGGTGTTGCCCCTCTTAGGGAAAAAGGCACCAGTGGTAAAGACTGGTGGGAGGAGAGATTGGTGGAGAGCAACAGCAAAATCACGTTTTCTGCTCTTAGCAGGAACGTAAGGAAGTAAGAAAGGATGTAGGGGGGGGGGTATATAACTTTTAGTGATCATAGAAGGAGTCATTTAAATAGAACACATTGTTTATTTAAGTCAATCTTCTTAAACATGCACCAACTGTCATTTTGTCAGGTGAAAAAAAAGTTGTGCCAACATTTAAAAGGGATCATATACAACGAGAAGCTTTTTTGTGTGCTCCTCAGAATGCTATGGCAGGCCAAAAGGGTCACAAATGTGAGCACGGGTCAAAATAACAATAGAATAATCGTCGAGACTCAAATTAAAAATGTGATTAATTGCACAGCTCTAGTTCATGTTAAGGGCGGCACAGTGGGGCAGTGGGTAGCACTGTGGCATTCCAGGTAGAAGGTTGTCGGTTCGAGGCTCGTCGGTGACCTTCCTGGAAGGAGTTTGCATGTTCTCCCTGTGCTCGCGTTGGTTTCCTCCGGTTACTCTGGTTTTCCCCACAATCCCCAAAAACATACGGTTAGGTTAATTGAATAATCTAAATTGAAGACTTGATCCGCTTGTTTTAACACATGTATCTTTATTCTTTTAAACAACCCAATAAAAAACACGTAGTTGTAAAAGAAACTTCCACATTGGAAAGTCACCATCAGCTAAAACAGCCCCACGGGATTAACCAATGTTTGATCGTCTGTAGTTTACTGGCAAAAAAAGTACATCACAATAAAAAAGCATCATCCAGTCGCAACACTAACCCTCAGCTGCTGCTTAGACAACAATTGGATTGAGACACATCCAAAAAGATGACCTTGAGAACTGAAGAGCACCTTTGTGAGCATAGAGCGTGAACGCACAGCACGAGGTCATCTCTTCATTTAATATTCACAGTGGGGTGATCTGGATGAAAAGATTTTTTAGATTTCTAAAGAAAAATACACCAAAAGAATCATGTTGGTGGTAATCCCTAAAGTTATGAACAAGAACAAATATTTTGCTGGTTCTAAATATTTACCTGCCATTGATGAAGTGGTAAATATTAGTCAACATTCAGACATCGTTCTTTTCTACGAAACAGTAGAAAGTATACAAAAGCATTTTTATGTGGATTGATCAATGATGTTCCTAGGTAAGTAACTTTGATTTTCCGTATTTGCATTCAATATTTACGGATTTCAAAAGCTGTTTGTAGCCCATCCCCTGGAGACAAGGCATGTATTCATCAACCAACATTAAAAGTTAAAAGAATTCCGTGGATCTACGTTAATGTAACTATAGCTTTTGAGCGCAAAGTAGAAACAAATTTCTCTAAACCACTTTTTCCAAATGTTGTTCTATGAGTGTCTTGAAATTTATGCGTAAGAATCCTTCGTACTTAATTATTAAACTTGTATTAGTTTCAAGGTTCTCTTGCGTAGCTGCAAATCCCATATAAATGCCCTATAAATCCCAGAAAGGTGGTGCCTGTAACATTTTCTAAAAAGTGTTCCGTAGTCTTGAAAAAGGCTCTGAATCAGTTTATGGCAGCAAATAAAAACTTCATTTGCTACAGAAATGGCAATTTTACAAAACAATTAACATATTATTTCATCATTCTCTTAAATTGTTGGAAGTAACCAATCTTGACCACCACAACTGATTTAGAAACAATAACTAATCAACATTATCAATAACAATTGACCATGGCAATAGTCATCAGATTTGATCTTGGGGTTTTGGTTAATAGACCACCACAAACCGTCAGAAGAGATTCGTTTGTAAAGAGCACAATACAAAACAATAAATGCATTATCAAATAAATATTAACCCCAACAATCGATTATTGGAGTAATCCTTGTGGCATCCCAACATTAAATAATAGGATGAGTTTATTTTCTGACAAGGATCAGTAATTACCAACCCATTCAAAGGCATCATGACATCCATAATTCCTCGACTCAGATGAAGAGCACCCTACTTTTAAACCACACTGATGATGCTTCTCACACTGTTTTTTTCTCTTGTTTCAAATCCTTTTTGCTTATTCCATTTAATTTAAGACACAGTAACTTTTGCAGGTCGCCGCAGTTTCTTTCCAAACTTGATCCAAGAACAATGTTTAAGAAATCAGGAATGGATCACAAAAGTGAGGGAGCAAACACGCTCAGGTGTGGAATGGAATGAACCCTTCCCAGCGGGAAAGCACCCTTAATGTTCAATGTGTGTATGCATTAAATGATAGAGTTTAATTAGCGAAACAATTCTGATTTTATAAACAAACGGAGAGTGGTTTACGGATATTTTTTAGTTTAGTTACATACATTATAAAAGCAATTCTTGTATAGAAGTCATCTGCTAATTGTAGTTGGTTTAAGCAGTTAATGTGCCGTGTATGAATTATAATGAAATCTGTAGCTGTGTGTGTGTGTGTGTGTGTGTGTGTGTGTGTGTGTGTGTGTGTGTGTGTGTGTGTGTGTGTGTGTGTGTGTGTGTGTGGAAGGGGGGGGTTTAGTCAAGGTCACATTCCGAGGAGCGCACAAACTGATCAAATAATTAATTACATTCGACTCCTCAAGTCGCTTCGGATAAAAGCATCTGCTAAATGCACCAATGTGAGAGTGTGGGTGCGTGATCTTGACAATGTGTACAGTGTTATGTAAATCCTTCCCAGTCCTGGTGAATCCAGCCCTTCTCAAAGACAAAGCAGGACTAAATGAAAGAAAGAGAAAGACTGAATGAAAGACAAAGAGAAGAAAGAGTGGCACTGAGCATGGCTGTCCCTCATAAACATCACAACAGGTCTCGCATTAACATGAGCTGATTACACCGAGCTCTGTATAGCCTTCTCAGAAAGCAAAAAACAAAGAGGAAGAAAGAAAGAAACAGTAGGGGTGTAGCGGATCGCAGTGGATCCGTGATCTGTACGGATCGCCACCCATGGACTGGTCTGAAGATGACCCGTGGATCACTTGCTGACGAATGCTGGGTTTCTGAACATTCAAGGGATGATTTTATTTACTCCTCTAAATGCTGCTAGTCTGTCCATCAACAGCATGGGCTCACGAGGAAGTGCACCAGTTCCAATGTTAACCATTATTTGGTGTGAGTATCCTTCTTTGAGCTGTTTTCAAAGAACTCTACTGGAGGTTTTTCCAACATTTTGGAGAACTAACCTCAGATCTTCAGCTTTCTCACATCCTCAACGACGACACACCTGGTGATGCAGAGATCAGGGCTCTGTGGGGGCTTCTTGTTCTTTAAGCTGAAGATGGTTCGTAATTACTTTGGTCGTGTAGCTTTGAGAACACCATTAACCCTGACCAATTCTCCATTTGTACGAGAACCTTCACCGAGCTTCACTGTTGCCTGCAGAAGTATGTCAGAAGTATAGCCTTTTGGCAGCAACTCTTCCATGAAGAGCAGACTGCAGGCCAGACTTCCCGACAGTAGATGGGTGAACCTGGGTCACTCTGGTTTCAGCCAGTTTCAAATCCTTTTTTGGAGGGTGATTAGCTTGATGTGCATCAATGGTCCGTTTCTTAAATCTTGAAAGCCGGTCTACTTTGAAATCTTTGTCTGGTAGAGATCTTGTTGATGCGGCATAACTACCTTGTGTCTTGTTGCTGTGCTCAATCTTGCCATGACGAGAAACATGTGTGACATTAGCAGTTGAAGGCAAGCGGTGGAAACGCCAAATTAAATAGATTTGATTTAGAAATTTCATTTGTTTGCAGAAAATTAAGCACTTTAAACAATTGTCTAAAACATTTGTTCCGTCTATACTCACAGAAAGTACATCTGTGTGGGAGATACACACATTTCAAACCAATAGAGAAGCTCATCTTGTGCTGAACCTGTCGAGCCTGATGTGCTGTGTGTTATTGATCAGTCCCCTCCCCCTCTCTCTGCATGAGCCCCAGCACACACACACAAACACACACACACAAACACACACACACACACACACACACATACATACACATGGACACACGCACACATACACTGTCCACCAAACACAATGGCACAGCAGATAAGAAGCAGGCAGATGGGATCTTTAGGGGAAAGAAAGATTCATTTTTCAGATTCATCATAAACTGTTTATTTTAATGCAACCACGCAAAGATATTCAGCACAACAAGGAACGCCGAGTGCTTTCTCTACATCACTGCTTTTATTCTAAGGTCCAGAATGAGTGATGAACTTAAAATTTGGCTTTTATTTATTCAGTAGCTGCGGTTCTTCCATCTTTTAGATGGGCTTTAATGGACTAACCATCGGAAATGTTGATTTTAAAGCTACTAAAGTGTATCATTAAAGTGGTTCGTGATCATCTCCTCCCAGAACCTGTCCTAAAGAGCAGTCTCCCGCCTCCACATGTATGATCACATGACTGCACAATATTGCGTTCTTCTACGTTCTAATGTTCTAAGAAAAGTTATCATATATGAAAAAAGTGTTTATCACGAAGTGATGATTTTGTTCATG